TTCCATCTCCTTCCCTCCCGCTCCCTCCCTCCCTGCCCATTGTCCATCTAAACAAGTCTCCCGGTAGTTCCCCAGTGGTTTCATCGGTTCCAGTTTGCACCGCTTAAACCGGAACTCTTTCTGAGAATCCTTCCTCTACATGCCAGTAGTGTCAGCCGTCGCTCTTTTGCCGGGTCTTCGTTTCTTCTCTCTCCTCTGCTTACTTACTCCCTTCGTCTCTTCTCATCTCTTCTCGCCGTCCCTGTGAAGAATGTGCTTGTATGTGGCATGTGGAAGAGAGGCCCGTGGCCGGGCTCCCCGCGGAAGCAGGAGCGCCCTTTGCTGCCCCGCCTCTTAGTAGAGCGAACGCCCTTGCTCGCGTTGGACACTGACGAGCGTAGGTGAATGTGCGGCGTCGCTGGAGGTCGTCTCCTCGGCGGCAGGGACGAGAGCCGCTCGGCGTCAGGGCGCGTGGTCCACGCGGTGCCATGCTGGCGTCGGCGTCGCAGCCCCCGCGAAGCTCGCCTCCCGGGACAGGATTACGAATGATTATTTTTACCGCCTTCGCTTCTCTTCCCGGGCCGTGGATGCTGGGGCGTCACGTGAGTCCGATTGAGGGGACAGTTTGGCTTGCCGGGACTTGCTCTTCGGGGTATCAACGATGACGCCAGACCCTGCCTCGCCGCCCCGCCCACGCGCCCTACGTCATTCCTTGCTCGACCAGTGACGGGACGCCTTCCCGTGAGAAAAGGACGCCCCTGCGACACGTCACTCCTCCACCGGACCATTCGCCGAAGCGATGGGCGTGAGGACGCTCCACGCTCTCTGAGGTCATGCCCATTGCTAGACCTCGGTGATTCTCTTGTGCAAATCACGGGAGGTGTGCGGAAATTCATTAGGCATTGTCCGGCATGCACTGGGAGAAGCCAGGTTATGAGTCTCTCTCTCTCACTCATTTTCTCACAAAGGAGCTGGATATAAGTGCGAAAGGAGGCTCGGCCGTCGTGTCCCTGTAGAGGGCGGCCGTAAGCCGTGATCCGTCAGACGTCATGAGGGCGGGGCGGCCTGCAGCGTCACTCCTCCAGTTGCGTCTCCTGGCGAGGCCTCCGGAGTCGTGCGCTCGTCGCCTCCCTCCATCTGGAAGGAGCGACAAGCGACGGCCTGCTGGAGGAGGAATGAGGAAGCTCCCGACGCGGCTCGCCCTGTCGTCTCGTCGGCTGCCTCCAGCCATAGTTTTCGCCGTTTCCCTCGCTCGCCCTCAATTAGGCAGGGAGGGAGGGGGCGACGGCGGCTCGGGGCGGGAGCGTCGCCACTCTTGCGTTTGAGTGTGGGGTGCACAGAAACAAGGCACACACACACACAAGCGCGCGCGCGTCATACCATCCATATGCATGTATATGCATGTAGAGAGGCTTACTTACATAAACAATTCTATACTCCGAAACACACTTATACGATTATATTTCCCAATGTATTTGTTTGTTCGTTGTTGTTGTAGAGCGAAGCCTCCCGGCACCGCATCAAACTCATTCCCACAACACATTCTACGACCTTCTCGCCCCCCCCATCCGCCCCATGCCCTGAGGGGCGGAATGGTTGGCCCGCTCGTGGGTCGGCCAGGCCAGGCATGGGGAGAGGGGAGGGCCCTGTGACAAGGAGACGTCCTGCGATAGATGTTCCATGGTTGACGTCAGTGGCAAATGGTCGATGAAAGGTGACCAATAGTAGTCCTAAGGTAGATGCCTCTTGGTAAATGTAGATACCGTGTGGTAGATGGCCCAAGGTAGATGTAGGCCTGGCACAAAGGGACGCGGCGATGTCCTTGTCGCACCTAGAGGAGGCCAGCTGAGCGGCGTCGTAAAGGGCCAGGGCTGGTGGAGGTTCGGCGACCAGGGGCGAAGTGGGGGGAGGAGGGGGGAGGGCGAGGCCGAGGGGGAGAGAGAGAAGAGGGGGGGAGGAGGGGAAAAGGGGAGTACACCTCGGATGGTTTACATATGTTGTGCTCCCGACGAAGTCCGGCGGCGCGACCGAGGGTGCCTAGCCGGGTTCTGGGGCGGTTTGGGGATGGGATGGTGGGGGAGTGTCATTGCTCTCTCCCCCCCCCCCCCCTCCCTCTCTCTCTCTCTCTCTCTCTCTCTCTCTCTCTCTCTCTCTCCTCTCTCTCTCTCTCTCTCTCTTCTCTCTCTCTCTCTCTCTCTCTCTCTCTCTCTCTCTCTCTCTCACTCACTCACTCACTCTCTCTCTCTCTCTCTCTCTCTCTCTCTCCTCTCTCTCTCTCTCTCTCTCTCTCTCTCTCTCTCTCTCTCTCTCTCTCTCTCTCTCTCTCTCTCTCTCTCTCTCTCTCTCTCTCATGCGCACACAAACGCACACGCACGCACATGACGCGACGTGGCGGCCACACAACGCGTGGGTCATTATGGCCGTACATGGTGATGGAGGGAGGGGGAGGAGGGAGTGCGTGTAGCCCCGGGCTGACTACAGGGACTACCATCACCACCGCTGCACCAGCATCGCCTTCCACGCCACCTCAGTCGCCCGACGTGGGTACAGGCTTAGTACAGCCATGGTACAGAAGTCACAGCAGTCTGCGGTACTGTCAGGCGCTGCCCCACCGTCCTTCTCCTTCTCTATCCTCTCTCCTCCTTTCGGTTTCCTCGCATCGTCTCCTGCTCCTCTTCCCCGTCGTCGTCCATAGCCTCTCTCTCTCTCCTGCTTTCCTTGCTCCTCTCGGCGCTTTCTGCTTGATTTTGTTTTTCCTTTATCTGGATTGGCCCTCATCCGGCCACGTTTGTATCTCCCTTCTCTTCCGTTCCGTTTATGCTGCTGCTGCTGCTGCTCTCCTCCTCCTCCCCTCCTCCTCCTCCTCCTTCCTCCTCCTCTCCTCCTCCTCCTCCTCCTCCTCCTCCTCCTCCTCCTCCTCCTCCTCCTCCTCCTCCTCCTCTCTCTCTCTCTCTCTCTCTCTCTCTTCCTCTTTCTTCTCTCTCTTTCTCTCTCTCTCCTCTCTCTCTCTCTCTCTCTCTCATCTCTCTCTCCTCTCTCTCTCTCTCTCTCTCTCTCTCTCTCTCTCTCTCTCTCTCCCCTTTTACCCTCCTCTTCCTCTTTTCTTTGCTTTGGCGAACGTCGGCCGAGTAACCTGCTAGTGAAACCTTTCTGATTTGCGCTTCCCCAATTGCTTCTTAGCAAAGATAGAGCTAGGGGACGAAAGATTAATGTTATTTATTTAGTTATATATATTTTTTCCCTCTTCCCTCGGACGGAAGTTCTCGGGAGTCGGAGTTCATGCGACATGAACTTCAATAAGTGTCGTTAATCACACACTATATAGTAAAAGGCAGTAGGGTTTAGCTCGCGATCTTATGATTGGTTAAGAACAGGAATCGCACTCGCTGTGGAGTGGAGTCGTGTGTGTTGGGATGGGGGGGGGGGAGGCGTGAGGAAAATCTACGGACGGGCATCGCCGTGTTTGAAGTAAAAGGATAATCGAAGGAAGCTCCCTGGCGAATGACTTTGCTGTGCTTGGCATATCCTGTGGGCGGGAAAGGCTGTGCATGCAGTCACAGGCAAGCACCCGCGCGTGAAGCCGGCTGTTCCAGCGTGGGATTTCGCTTTGGTCATTTCACGCTGGACAGACAGTTGATTCAAAAGGCAATCCATATCTGCGCCTTAGCGTGGCCTAGTAGGACTTCCTGGTTACTCTTAATAAATCGTGAGACCTTGAGGGCGTGGCTAAGAATGCACGAGGGGCGGATCTTTCTAGTTTTGGAAGGGGGAAGGTTGCGTCAGGGTTACGTAAGGTGTAGAGGTGAACTGCTATTAAGTGACAACATAGCAACACGGCTGGCTATGGAGCACCTCTCGTGAAGAGTCGGTAGTTGTTATTTTTGTTAATGGGTTTGAATTCCTCTTGTGTCGGGAAGCATCCGATGCATTTGCTGTTCATTGAGGAGCATCCGATGCGTTTGTTTGAGATGAAATTAGTTCGGAGAAGTCTGTTGTTTTTCGTGCGGAGGAAAGGCAACCCAGACAGATCAGACCAACGTAGGAATATTCCCGACTTTCATATTAAAAAGTCATTTAACAAACGCCAAAAAAATAAAAAAAAGTAAAAAAAAATATAACAAATCATAGCAAAGAGAAAGTGGTCGCTTAGATAATCCCAGGAAAAGGATTCTGCCGAGGGATTAGCGAATCGAATGCGCAGTTCATAATGCAACAGAAAGTGAACATCTTGTCTGAGCTCGTTATGTGATCCCGCGCCTCGGCCGCGTGTCGGGGGGCGCGGGAGGGGGGGGGGGGGCGTCGCCTTAGCTCCTCCGCGGGCTCTGTTGTTGTTGTTGTTGTGGTTATTATTGTTTTGACCATCATCGTCACTTCTTTGATACTATGGACAATTTTGTTTTGTCATGGATACCATTACTGTCAGTATGGTTATTATAGTTGTTGGTGTTGTCATGTATTATTATTTTCTCTGCTCGGATTTTCTTTCAGTAATGAGTCTGGCGTTAATCTTGTCTTAATATGTGTCATTTTAAGAGTGGCATGAACGCTGTTCTGTCATCGTCTTCGTTGTACACACTCATGCAAGGTAGTTTTAGGAGTGTTGTTCTTGTCCTTTCTTCTTCTACTTCG